CCCCCGGAGTCCAGCCCCCCCCACGGAGGGTCCGGCTGGCCAGCGGCTGTTTTGTTCCATCTGCTTGTCGCCTAATGGCTCCAACAGGCACCGGGCGGCGGCCAGGGCGGGTGCGGCCTCTGCCGAGTGTGACCTCACGTCTGCCCAGGCGAGGGAGCCAGGGCTGGGCAGTGGGCATGCAGGCCGGGCACAGGGGGAGGAAGAGACCCGAGGTCACCTGGGGCAGCCGGTTGCGTCGTCCCCCTCCACGGGACAGCTGTGACCCTCAGCCTCGGCCACTGCGTCCACACCGGGGAAACTGAGGCTCCCAGCAGGAGGGGGAGCTGGGACACCGGAGGGAGGGTCTACCCACGCCCAGACCCCAATGCACCCCCCCTCCACCTGGCATGCCTGAGGGAATGTCCAGGCTGACGAGGGGGATGGACAGAAGCTTGAGGGTGGCCAGCGCCCGGGTGCAGGGACCCCCGACTTCCCGCGGCTCCACGCCGGGACCCAGCACGGCATCCACCACCAACCCGTAGGCGTCGTTAATGAGCTGGACCTGGGAGGGCAGCAGGGTCAGGGGTGGTCTTAGGGCACCGGCCCCCCACCTCTGCCCTCACTGGTCACCCCAGCAGACCTCGGTGGGCAGGTAGGACAGGAAAGGAATATCCATTTTTTCACACTGGGTGGTCAGGTCCCGGTGCAGCAGGTCCAGTGAGCGGGTTGGGTAGAAGATGGTCGGTTCGTACTCCTGGGGGTGCAAGAGGGGTCCAGCTGGCGGGGGTGGGGGGTCCTCCCAGTCTCATAGCCCATCTGGGGCAAGCACTGGGCATGTCCTAGTTTTTTTTTTTTTTTTTTTGTATAGGTTTTTGCTATAGGGTGCATCCACTCGCTAGAGAGACAGAGAGACCAAAAGCGAGAAATCATCCCCCAGGGGGGATGGCCACACCACAATCCCTTCTCCTCCATTCTCCTCTCAGGATTGTGGGCACGCACACACACGTGCCTGGTGTGAGTTTAAGCCACCGGGTCTGGGACTCGAACCACGGTTGACTACATGGGATTCCAGCAACATAGCCATTATGCCAACTGCTGGTCCCAATGTATTATTTTTCCTTAAGAGAGAGATTTTTGCTATGGGGCGTGTGTACTCGCTTGAGAGACAGAGAGACACAGAGAGATAGAAGGCAAAAAAATCACCCCCCAAGGGGGATGGCCATGCTGCAATCCCTTCTCCTCCGTTCTCCTCTCGGGATCTTGGGCACGCACGCACACGCACCCGGCGTGAGTTTAAGCCACCAGGTCCGGGACTCAAACCATGGTTGGCTCCATGGGAGTCCAGTGACATAGCCATGACGCCACCTGCTGGTCCCAGCACTGGGCATGTCCTGTAACCGGCCCCAAGGCCAAGGTCCCCCTGGGATGCCATCGGGGTGCGGGAAGCAATGGCTGCAGGGGTGACGTGGATGGGGGACCCTGGTACTCACGAACACCCGCAGGTGCCGGGCACAGACCAGCCCCACCGCTCCGTTCTGTTCTGGGCCGCACACGACCAGCACCGTCTTCTGCTTCCGGGAGAGGACAGGGAGGGGGAACACCTGGTGGGGACACAGCAAAGGCAAAGGCATGACAGTGGCTGGTGGCCCTTGCTCAAGTGGGGAAACTGAGGCCGGGCGTGGGGAAGGGGGTGAGGCCGGAGCCTGAAGGCACTAGGATACGCCAAGGGGAGAAGGGATCTGGGGAACAGGGCTGGGCTTTTGGAGGGCCTCAGTTTCCCCATGGAAGACACACAGAGTCCTTGTCCCAGGCGCTGCCTGGCCTTGCAGAAGACACCTCCAGCCACCCTCCTGCAGGCGCCGGGGAGGGAGGTTTGTTTATCCTCCGACTGGGCTGCAGACACCTTTCCACCTTTTTCCACCCCAGTGGCTGCCCCTGGCCCGCCCATGTTTCCAGGCCCTGGCCCCTCCCAGAGGCCCCAGAGTGTAGGGGGGGGAGGGAGGGCAATGGACAAGGAGGGGGTACTTTTCCACCCCAGCAAAGGCCCGAGGCAGGGCCTCTCTGTTTCTGTTTCTGGCTCCTTGTCTCTCTCCATCTGTCTCTGTGTCTCTCATCATGAAGTCTCTCGAATCTCTTGTCTCTGATGGGATTCTTTCTTTTTTTGCAAAATCTTAGTTCTTGGCCCTATTTTTTTTTTTAAACGATTTATTTATTTATTTCCATCTATTATTGTTAGTTGGTGTTTTTATTTTTATTTTTTATTTGACGAGAGAGAGAGAGAGAAAGTGAAAAAGCAAGCCACCAGGTCCGGGACTTGAACCATGCTTGGCCATGTGGGAATCCAGTGCCCTTATCCACCACACCACCTGCTGGCCCCAGCCCTAATATATATTTTTTTAGAATGATTTCATTTCACTTTATTTATTTATTTATTTATTTTGATTTGACGGGGGAGGAGGGGAGGGAGAGAGAGAAAGTGAGAAAGCAAACTGCCAGGTCTGGGACTCGAACCGCAGTCACTCATGTGGACATCCAGCACTCTTAATCACCAAGCCACTTGCCGGATTCTCTTTATTATTATTATTATTATTATTATTATCAATGATTTTATTGGGGCCAGCAGGTGGTGTGGTGGTTAAGGTGCTGGAATTCCCATATGGCCAACTCTGGTTCAAGTCCTGTGCCGGGCAGCTTGTTTTCTGCCTCTCTCTCTCTCTCTCTCTTTGGCAAAACTCACGTGGAAATATAATAATAATAAATAAATAGGAGCTGGAGAGTGGCATGGTGGTTGAGGTGCTGGACTTCAACAAGGCTGACCATTGTTCAAGTCCTGGACCTGGTAGCCCCAAATCACAACAAACAAATACATACATAGATGTTAAAATAAATCAATAAATTAAAAATAATAATTACAAATAAATTTTTTGAGAGGTTTTTGCTATAGGGTGCGTGCGCTTGCGAGACAGAGACAGAGAGACAGAAAGTGAGAAATCACCCCCCAGGGGGGATGGCCACGCCGCAATCCCTTCTCCTCCATTCTCCTCTCGGGGTCTTGGGCACGCATGCACATGCGCCCGGCATGAGTTTAAGCCACCGGGTCCGGGACTCGAACCACAGTCGACTACATGAGAGTCCAGCAACATAGCCATTATGCTAACTGCTGGTCCCAAGAGGTTTTTGTTTTTAATTACCAGAGGGCATATGCATTCACCAGAGACAGAGACAGAGAAAGCACCCCCCTGCGGTATGTTCACCCCACGATCCCTTCTCTTTCATTTGTCCACTCTATTGGAATTTGGGGCGCCCATCAACAAACACGTGGAGTGTTTCTCAAACCACCAGGTCCAGGCATGGTCAGCCTAATTAATGGTAGGATCCATTTCCCTTAAGCCACCAGGCCATAGGCCAGCCCTCTTTGTCGCTGTTTCATGTCTCTGTCACTGTCTTGATGTCTTTCTTTTTAAAGTTATATTTATTTTATTTGGGATATACCATGTGTGGGTACAGACGAGAGAGACAAGCACTCTTAACAGGGCCTCGTCACGCCATGACCCTTCCTCCTCCTGCTGCTCCTCAGCTCCTTGGATCTTGGGCACCCGCCCGTAAGCCCACCATGTTTTCAGGCCAACCAGGGAACCTGAACCCGCAGTCGGCCATATGGCTTCCAGCAGTACAGTTCAGCACCAACTGTACCATCAGGCTGGGCTCTTTTTGTGTCTCTCAGACTCTGCATCTCTCCCCATCTCTCTGTCTCTATCAAGTCTATGTTTCTCTTCATCTTTGTCTCTGTGGGAGTGTATCTCTCTCTCTCTCTTTTTCTCCCCCCCCCTTTTTTTTGCCATAGGGTGCATGCACTCAGCAGAGAGAGAGAGAGAGAGAGGGACCAGCAGTTGGAGCTCCCATGTAATTGACTGCGGTTCAAGTCCCGGACCCGGTGGGTTAAACTCACACCGAGCGCATGTGCGTGCGTGCCCTAGATCCCGAGAGGATAATGGAGGAGAAGGGATTGCGGCGTGGCCATCCCCCCTGGGGGGTGATTTCTCACTTTCTGTCTCTCTGTCTCTCTCTGACTTCCTGGTGAGCACAGGTGCCTTATAGGAAAAAATTCTCCAAAATAAAGAAAAAGAAAAATATGCGAGGCACATGTACATCTGTGCCCAAAACAAAATCCCAAGAGGAGATGCGAAGTGGCATGGCCATCTCCCCTCTCTCTCCCTCTCTCTGGTGAATGTGCGCACCCTATGGCAAACTTTAAAAAAATAAATAAAAAGTAAGTGTAATGGTGCACCCCTGTTATCCCAGGGAGGCTGAGGCAGAATGACTATAAGTTCGAGGCTAGCATAAGCAACATGGTGAGACCCTATCTCTCTCTCTCTCCCTTCATTTTTTTTTTTTGGAGAGGTTTTCGCTATAGGGCGCATGCGCTCGCCAGACAGACAGAGAGAGACACAGAGACAGAAAGCGAGAAATCACCCCCCAGGGGGGATGGCCACGCCACAATCCCTTCTCCTCCATTCTCCTCTCGGGATCTTGGGCACGCACGTACACGCGCCCGGCGTGAGTTTTAAGCCACCAGGTCCGGGACACGAACCGCGGTCGACTACGTGGGAGTCCAGCAACATAGCCATGACGCTAACTGCTGGTTCCCTCTCTCTCCCTTCTTTTAAAACTTTTTGCTATAGAGCACGTGTGCCTGTCAGAGAGAGAAAAAGAGAGAGAGAGAGAGAGAGAAATCATCGCCTAGGGGGATGGCCACATTTCAATCTTTTCTCTTCTATTCTCCTCTTGGGATTTGGGGTATGAACACACATGTGCCTGGGATATTTCTCAAGCCACCAGGTTTGGGATTTGAACTGTGGAGTCGGCCATGTGGGATCCGGTCACTTTAACCACCACGCCACTGGCTAGCACCAAGACCCTTTTTTTCTTTTTTTTGAGAGATTTTTGATATAGGGCACGTACACTTCCTAGAGAGACAGAGAGACAGAGAGCGAGAAATCACCCCCCAGGGGAGATGGCCACACTGCAATTCCCTCTCCTCCATTCTCTCCTCAGGATTTTGGGCACTTACACACGACATGCACCCGGCGTGAGTTTAAGCCACCAGGTCTGGGACTCAAACTGCGGTCGACTATGTGGGAGTCCAGCGATGTGAGCATTATGTCACCTGCTGGTCCCAGGACCCCATCTCTTAAACGAACAGACAACAAACCCAGAAACAAATGACAAAAACAAAAATACTAGAGGGGATGGGACCAGCAGTTGGCGTAATGGCTATGTCCCTGGACTCCCACGTAGTCGACCACGGTTCAAGTCCCGGACCCGGTAGCTTAAACTCACGCCGGGCACGTGTGCGTGCGTGCCCAAGATCCCGAGAGGAGAATGGAGGAGAAGGGATTACAACGTGGCCATTCCCCCTGTAGAGTGATCTCTCACTTTCTGTCTCTCTGTCTCTGTCTCTCTCTTTCTGGCGAGCACACGGCACCCTATAGCAAAAATCTCTCAAAAAAAAAATCCCTCTCAGGGCTCGGCTCTGAGCCTCAGTTTCCCCCTCTCAGAGATAGGATGGGGGAGCTCCCAGCAAAGAGGGCCTCCCCAAGGCTGGATCGATCTAGCCAGTCCCGGGCTCTGGGAGGTTGCCAGCTGGTCAGGGTCAGGGGTTAGAGGTCCGGTACCTTGGTGACAGCCACGGCGCTTGCATGGCCGCACAACTCCACCAGCTGCTGCCGCCCGAAGCGATAATCTTCCAGCAGCTCTCTCTCCAAGGCAGCTGCCTCCGCCGTGCTAGGGGACAGAGTGGGGGAGAGATGCTCAGAGACACAGAGACAAGAGATGGAGAAAGAGAGAGACCTAGAGACAGAGACTCAGAGGGAACAAGGCATGTTCCACCTGGAGAAAGAGAGAGACCTAGAGACAGAGACTCGGAACAAGGCATGTTCCACCGATGTTCCACGCCAGGTCTCTAGGCCACTCTCCCGTCCTCCTGCCCCCTAAGCTGGAGTAGCTTCTGCAGCCTCCTCCCCCCTCTTCCTCAGTTTCCCCATTTCTCAAGCCCCAGGTTGAAGGGGAACCAGGCGGGGAGCGGGAGCTTGGAGCCGAAGCCCGGGACGCTGGCGCCCTCTGGTGGTGGAAATGGAGCATGGCAGTACGTGTGGGTTTCAACGCTTCAGAGCGCAGGGAGCCTTGCCCAGACTCCCCCAGGGACCCCCAGAACAGGGGACACGTAGAAAGGGCACTGGAATGGGGGGACTTTGATGGACTTTAATGGGGGGATGGACTGATTCCAGGCAGGAACTTCTGAATGTCAGGATACTGGGATGGATGGCAAATTGGACTGAGGGTGTCGGGCAGAGGTGGGTTTTGAAGGCTGTAGAGGAGTTGGAGGGCCCGCTCAGGGAGGTGGATGAGGGGCCTGGGGCTATGGGATCCTTTGGTGACCTCTCTTTCCAGGACAGTGGGGGAATGCAAAGATCTGCGACTAGAGAGATGAGGCCATCTTGGCAAGGTGGAAGGTCGCTGGCCATTGGACTGTGGGGCGGGCAACCTCTCTGAGACTTGCTTCCTCCTTGGCAAAATGGAAGGCAGGGTGGGTGGGTGACATCATTTGTGGGACCCCCTGTTCAAAAAGTGTTATTATTTATTTATTATTAATTTTTTTTTGAGAGGTTTTTGCTATAGGGCTCATGCGCTCTCCAGAAAGACAGAGAGAGACACAAAGACAGAAAGCGAGAAATCACCCCCCCAGGGGGGATGGTCACGCCGCAATCCCTTCTCCTCCATTCTCCTCTTGGGATCTTGGGCACGCACGCACACGCGCCCAGCATAAGTTTAAGCCACCGGGTCTGGGACTTGAACCGCAGACGACTACGTGGGAGTCCAGCGACATAGTCATTACGCCAACTGCTGGTCCTTCCCAGGGTGTTTCTCAAACTGCTAGGTCTGGGTCTTAAACTGTGAGGTTTGCTATGTGGGATTTACTAACCTTAACAATCATGCCACAGGCTAGCCATCAAAAATTAATATTTTTGTTTGTTTGTTTTCGCCATAGGACACAGGCACTTGCTGGAGAGTGGGGAGGGGAATCACCCGCCAAAGGGGATGGCCACACCACAATCCCATCTCCACCATTCTCCTTTGGGATTTTGAGCACACGGGCCCAGCGTGATTTTCAAGCCACCGGGTCGAGGACTTGAACCGTGATCAGCCATGTGAGAGTCCAGCACTTTAATCAAACTATGTCACCTACAGACCTCTCCAAAAGCATTCATTTATTTATTGGGATTTTTGCTATAAGGGACATGTACGTGTCAGACAGATAGAACGCAAGAAATCACCCCCTGGTGGGGGATGGCCATGCCACAATCCCCTGTCCTCCATTCTCCTCTTGAGATTTTGGGTATGCACACAGGTGCCCAGCATGGGTTTCAAGCTGCCAGGTCCAGGAATCAAACTGTGGTCAGCTATGTGAGAGTCCAGCGCCTTAACCACTACACACTGCCTGCTGATCTTTCAAAAATTATTAATAGGGCTGGCTCCGTGGTAGAGCGGTAATGCATTACTCATGGGAAGCTGGGGACCAGCAGATGGTATAATGGTTACATCGCTTGACTCCCATGTAGTCAGCCGTGGTTTGAGTCCCGGACCTGGTGACTTAAACTCACGCCGGGTGAGTGTACGTGCGTGCCCAAGATCCCGAGAGGAGAATGGAGGAGAAGGGACTGCGGCGTGGCCATCCCCCCTGGGGGGTGACTTCTCATTTTCTGTCTCTGTATTTCTGTCTCTCTGGCAAGTGCACACGCCCTATAGCCAACGTCTCTCTTTTTTTTAAAAAGAAATAATTATTTTATTTAACTTTATTTATTTTAATTTGACCAGAGAAGGATAGAGTGAGAATGAGAGAGAGAGAGAGAAAGTGAGAAAGCAAACCACCAGAAGGGGCAAGGAGGTGGCATGGTGACTCCCAATGACCAACCACGGTTCAAGTCCTGGATCTGGTAGCCTTCTTACTTTTCCCTTCTCTCACTCTCTTTGTCTCTTTGGTCAAATTAAAACATAAATAATAATGATAAATTTTTTAAATGGTGTTTTGTGTGGGTTGGAGGACCTGCTGGTAGCTTAGTGGTTAAGGCACTGGATTCCCACATGGCCAGCCACAGTTCAAGTCCTGTACCTGGTAGCTTGGAAATCATGCCATGCACATGTGTGTGTGTGTGTGTGTGTGTGTGTGTGTGTGTGTCCAAAATCCCAAGAGGAGAATGGGTGAAAAGGGATTGTGGCATGGCCATTCGCCCGGAGGGGATGATTTTTTGCTTTCCCTCTCTCCTAATCTCTCCAGCAAGCATATGTGCCCTATGGCAAAAATCTAAAACTAAAAAAAAAATAAAAGGAAGAAAAACACATCAGGTGGGGCCATCAGATGGCAGGTGGTTAAGGCGCTGGACTCCCACATAGCCAACCATGGTTTGAGTCCTGGACCTGGTAGGTTGCTTCCTCAACTCTCCCTCGCTCTGTGTCTCTCTCTGGGCAAATTTAAATAAATGAATAAATACATAAAAGTTAAATTTTAAAAAAAGAAAAAAGAGAGAGAATGGAGGAGAAGGGATTGTGGTATGGTTATTCCTCCTGGGAGGTGATTTCTCACTTTCCTCCTCTCTCTCTCACTCTCTGTCTCTCTTCAGTGAAAAAAAACCTTTTTTATTAAAAAAAAAGAATAAAGATGCGACCAGCAGGTGGCGTGGTGGTAAAGGTGTTGGACACTCCCACATGACGGACCAGGGTTTGAGTCCTGAATCTGGTGGCTTGCTTTCTCACTTCCTCTCTCTCACTCTCTGTCACTCTCTGGTCAAATTAAAAAAAAGAAAAATAGAATGCATAAATAGAAAATAAAATAAATATTAAAAGAAGAAAAGGCAGAAGGGAGGTTGATGTGGTTGGACTGAGTGAGGAAACGAGGCAGAAAGACTTAGACGTGGTCAGGAAGACACGTCGTGGGGGAGGGGGAGACAGAGGCTCAGGGCAGGGAAGTCACAGGCCTTGGGTCATTCCAGGAAGTAAAGCTGGAATCAAATCCAGGCTGCATAGGAAGGAGGTGAAGGGCTGGGCAGTGAAAGAGAGCTCACGCTGAAACCAGACAAAGAGCGTCCCCCCTGCAGCCGGCCCAGCTCCTGGAGCAGGTTGTGTTCACGTTCAGGGTGAGGAATCTCGCAGACTAAGAACGTGGCTCATTCTTCTACCTTTATCTTGTGACAGCTCCTGACAGCTGCCCCCGCAAGAGAGAGGAGGGAGAAAGAGGAGGGTGGGGGACCACCCATTTCTCCTCTCTTTCTTCCGTCTCAAAGATTTGGCCTCTGCCCACCAGTGGTCCTGCCTAACTGGTCATTAGAATGACAATGGGGACTCTGGGCAGAGATGGCCCAGGAGAGAGGTGGGGAGCAGGCAGTGGCAACTCAGGGTGGGGTAAGGAAGAGGATTAGAGACAGACAGTGGCACCGTGGTAACCCAATGCTCCACTGGGCCTGACCCACATGGGAAGGTTCTCAGTTCGAATATGAAGACCTCCCTGAACACGCCAGGCATGTGAGTGCCCCCCGATCTGGGCTGGCTGAGGCTGGGAGTGGATTGCAGTTTAAAGACCCCGTTGAGGGGCCAGCAGATGGTGTAGTGGTTATGTCACTGGACTCCCATAGCTGATCAACACGGTTTGAGTCCTGGACCTGGTGGCTTGATATTCATGCCGGCTGTGTATGCGTGCATGCCTCAGATCCCAGGAGGAGAATGGAGAAGGGACTATGGGGTGGCCATCCTTCCTGGGAGGTGACTTCTCATTTTCCTGCGAACCACCCTAAGGCAAAAGCCTCTTTAAAAAAAAACCCAAAAAACCCTGTTGAGGGTTGAGGGTGCTCTCTTATTCATGGAAGAAATAAACTATAAACTTAAAAAAAAAAAAAAAAAAGGCTAGTAGGTGGCATGGTGCATAAGGGCACTGGACTCCCACATGGCCGACTGTGGTTCGAGTCCCAGATCTGGGGCCTTGCTTTCTCATTCCCCCCCCCCCCCCCCCCCGCTTCGCTTGCTCGCTCTGTCCCTCTGGTCATATTAAAGAAAGAAAGAAAGAAAGGCTAAAATAGGGACCAGCAGGTGGTGTGGTGGTTAAGACGCTGGACACTCCCACATGGCTGACCATGGTTCGAGTCCCAGACCTGGTGGCTTGCTGTCTCACTTTCTCTCTCTCTCTCTGGTCAAATAAAAATAAATGAATAAATAAATAAATAAAATTAAATAAAGGCTAAAATAATTATTATTTTAATTAATTTATTTAAATTTGACCAGAGAGGGACAGAGTAAAAGAGAGAAAAAGAAAGCAAGAAAGCAAGCCACCATGCCCAGGACTCGAACCGTGGTTGCCCTTGTGGAAGTCCAGCGCCTTTAACCACCATACCACCTGCTGGCCCCTGAACTAATTCTTTAAAAAAACAAGAAAAAAAGGAGTGGGAACTAGAGTCTGGAGGTGAAGGGAGGGAGGCAGGCAGGGCAGGTTCATCCAGCCATTGAGGGACGCTTGGGGACTCAATTACGACAGTGCCTCTTGCTCCCCCAAATGAGAGGAGAGTCCAAGCCCCAGGATTTTCTTGGTAGACCCCGAAGGGCTGAAGTATGTCCTGAGTTGAAAGGAAAGCGAGCCTGACTTCCAAATGCTTCTAGAAGGGGGACATAGGGGGTCCCAGCACGGGAGGGAACTCTTGGGGGAGAAGCCCTCTGGCCACACCCACCTGTTGCTCTTCCCCCTCACACCTCTGCCCACTGTCCACCGTGATTGCTCACCTGGCCACCTCCAGCAGTCTCCCGCCCCCAGATTCCTCCACACGAACCATTAGGGTATTGGGGACTTGAACACAGATTGCACTCCCCCCTCCCCTCCTCTCAAACATTCTACGGCTTTCCAGTGCTGGGAGAATATTCAAATTCTTCACCATGCCTACACGCCCGCCCGCCCCCAATTATTCGCCAACCTCATCCCTTCACTCCCTTTATTCTCGGTGCTCTGACTCTACCCACCCCATGAAGCTTATCCCCCTCTTCGGCTGGCTTTTGAGGCCCCCACGTCAGGCGAAGTCATAGCTCCAGCTCCTAGAACACACCCCTCTAGCCTGACTCTGGATTTTTTTTTTTTAAAGAATAATTTAAGTTTATTTTATTTATTTATTCAATTTATTTGAGAGGTTTTTGCTATAGGGTACCTGCACTTGCCAGAAAGACAGAGACAGACAGAGAGACAGAAAGCGAGAAATCACCCCCCAGGGGGGATGGCCACACCGCAATCCCTTCTCCTCCATTCTCCTCTCAGGATCTTGGGCACGCATGCACACGTGCCCGGCATGAATTTTAAGCCACTGGGTCCGGGACTTGAACCACGGTTGACTACATGGGAGTTCAGCAGCATAGCCATTATGCCAACTGCTGGTCCATTTATTATTATTATTTTTTAAAGAATCACTTAAGTTTATTTTAATTTGACCAGAGAGAGACAGAGAGAGAAAGGGAGAAAGCAAACCACCAGGTCCAGGGCTTGAACCGCAGTCAGCCATGTGGGAGTCCAGCACCCTCAACCACCACGCCACCAGCCAGTCCCTGACTCTGGACTTCTAGGAACATTCTCTAGGCTGGACACAGACAGTATCTGCTCTAAGAAGAGGGACTGAGTGGACAGTGAGCAGAGGCAGTTGTGTAAGAGCCACGGGGTGAACGGGGTGTCCAGTAAGGTGGACAACCCAACCTGAGGTCCCATGTCACACAAAGCCTCCGGACCATCGGGTGTGAGAAGACTGCTTGCTTTCTCATTTTCTCTCTCTCTGGTCAAATGAAAATAAGAATGATAAATAAAATTAAAAATGATTTAAGGCTCTGGACAGTCCCACATAGCCGACTGGGGTTCGAGTCCTGGACCTGGTGGCTTGCTTTCTCACTTCCTCTCTCTCACTCTCACCCTCTGTCTCTCTCTGGTCAAATTAAAACACTCAACGAATGAATAAATAAAAAATAAAAAATGATTATTTTCTAAAAATGATTTTTAAATAATAATAACCGGCTGTGGTTCAAATACCGGACCTGGTGGCTTGCTTTCTCACTTCCTCTCTCTCACTCTCACCCTCTGTCTCTCTCTGGTCAAATTAAAACACTCAACGAATGAATAAATAAAAAATAAAAAATGATTATTTTCTAAAAATGATTTTTAAATAATAATAAAAAAATTAAATAATTCGAACACACAAAATCCTGCCAGGCCTTGGTTCAGGCAGTGACTTCCCGCCCCAAACAGAGGAGATAGTAACAGAGGGAACAGAGTGGGCGTCAGGGTGCTTTGGAGGCGCTAAGCTCTTCCCCGACGACGGGGAGCTGGGGGCTGGGGCTCCGCGGGTCTCGGGGAGATGGAAAAGGGATGGGCTGGTTGGAGCGGGGGGCCGGGAGGGGAGCTGGCGGGGGAGTGACTAGCACCCCGAGGGGCGTGCCTGTCGCGAATGCCGTTTCCCTGACAACACACAGCTTCGTGGGCGTCCTCAGCTGCAAGCAGTGAGCTGTGGGGTGAACCCCGGATCCCCGGCTCCATCCACGCCACGCACCTGCCCTCCCGTCCCTTATCCCCGCCATGCACCTGCTTCTAGCCCCCACCCCCGCCATGCACCTGCTATTCTAGCCCTGCACCTCGGCTATCCCCCTGCCTCTGGCCCGGCTATCCTCTTGCCTTCAGTTCCCCGGGCCCTGTCTCGGTCATGTCCACCTCCGGCGTCCCCCTGCCCGGCTGACCTGAGGAAACGCCTCTCCTCCGGCTCTTCGGCCGGGTCGGGCCCCGCCGCGCCGCTCATGGCCGAAGTGAGAAGCGGGTTCGCGCAGCGGGGCCGGCACGGCCTTTTAAGCGCATCCCTGCAGGGAGGGGGCGTTGCCGCCTCTCCTTCCCCCGCCCACCTCCGCGTGCCCGCCAATCAGGAGGCGCCGCGAAGGCGCTGCGCGTGCCCATTGGCCAGCGGCCGCCAGACGGCCTAGCCCCCGGGAGCAGGAGCCGAGCTGCGAGGCAGATGGAGGGAAGCCCGGAGGCTCAGATGTTGGCAGGAAATGAAATCTGGACCGAGCATTCTCTGCCTTGCGGTCCTGGCTGGAAGTGGGGTCCCCCCCCCCGAATCCCCTGGACCCTGGTCGGGAAGGTTGGAGCCCCCTGATTGCTGGGTGGGCTGCTAAGTTGTATGATTTCAACGGGGAGGTTGGAAGTCCTGGTTCTGGTGTCACATCACTGGATTCCCATGTAATCACTCGATGGTGGTTCGAGTCCTGGGCCAGGCAGCTTAAAACTCAACGCTGGGTGTGCTGTGCCCAAGATCGCGAGAGGAGAATGGAGGAAAAAGGATTGCGACCCCCTCACGGGAGGGTGATTTTTCACTGTCTCTCCAAGCCCTATAGCAATTTTTTCTTTTTTTGGGGGGGGGGTTCTTTGCTATAGGGCTCGTATGCTCCTCAGAAAGGGAGAAATCACCCCCCAGGGGAGATGACCACGCCACAATCCTTTCTCCTCCCTTCTCCTCTGGGGATCTTGGGCACGCACACATACACATCTGGTGTGAGTTTAAGCCACCGGGTCCGGATCGACCGGCGGTGGGCCATATGGGAGTTCAGCGACATAGCCATTATACCAACTGCTGGTCCCTTGCAATCTCTTTAAAAAAAAAAAAAAAAGTCCTGGCTCATTTGGGGGTCCTGTCGGGGCTGGTGGTGGGTCCAGGGACAACCCCTGCAACCCCGTCTTCGAACCCCCCACGCCGCTCTCCCCACCCCCAAGTCCCAGACACAGGCAGGCGGGGTCTCCGGTGTTGGTTTATTCGTCCCCGTGGAGCGGCGCGGGCGGGTCGCAGGCCCTACATGCGCCACATGAAGCTGTAGTTGTTGTGGATGAGCTCCTCGCGCGAGCGCAGCCCGTACAGTTCGCCCATCAGGGGTGGCACCCACCGCGTCGTGTGGAACACGGACTCCCCCACCTGCAGGGACAGTTGGGTATGGGTGTGTGTGTGTGTGGGGGGGTCCCCCTGCCGCCCCAAACCCAACCCCTTTCTCCACCCCCCACCCCACCCACCTTCCAGTCGGGTACATCCTTCATGATAATCGCTTCCTCCTCCAGGTTCTCCCGAAGCATCTGCAGGACCCTGTGAGGCGGGAGGGGTGCAGTGGGCAGGGGTGGCACCTGCAGGGCCCACCTCCGGGGCTCCTACTCTATCCCTGCTCCAACCTCCCCATTGCTCTCTTCCCTTTTACTCTTTATTCTGCACCCCCCCCCCAGGCCTCCTCCTCCAGGAAGCCCTCCCGCTCTCCCCCAATCAGTCGCCACTAAGTCAAATCCCCCAGCCCTGCCCGAGTGTGCAAGGCTGCAGCTGATGGTCCCCACTTAATTCTGGCCGCAGGTCGGGCCCTGTAAGGCTTGGGCACTCTGGACTGTGACCCACCCACCCCATGATCCTCGCAGCCCCACCTCCTGTCATTCTCTGCCTGGAACAGTGGCATCAGGGCGATACGGGCCTCCAGGTCCTCAATCTGCAGGCGCCTGCAAAAATTCCAAAGGCGATTTGCGTGTCAGAGCAGCCTGGGGGTGCTAGGTGGAGCTGGGGGAGCACAGAGGGAAGGCCAAGGCCGAGGACTCCGCCCTCCAGGAGCTGGGGATGAGGGCCAGAGGGGCAGGGAGGGGCGGGCTGCTGGCAAGGGAGGGAGGCTGTTGGCTTTCACACTTTCAATTAAAAACTTTTTTTTCTTCCTAAAAATAGGCATGATGGCTGCAGTAGAGGGGGGAGTTCCACCCTCTCTATCCATCACGGGGTCTGGGCCTTACAAAGCCAGTTCTCATCTCAAAATAACTGCAGGGTGTGAGGCAGGGGAGGCAGCTGCCTGTCACTCCTTTCTTCTCCCCGCCTTCTAGAGGTTTCTGCATTTCTTGTGCTGAGCCCCACTCACGCCCCATCTGGGCAGTGGGGATAGGGAGGAGTGATACCAAGTGGCCCCTGGCCCCAAACACCAGTCCGGGGTGGCTACTGCCACAGGTGGTCTGGCTTCTAAGCTCCCCATTATAGTCCCAGCCCAGTCACCACAGAAAAAAAAGTTGCTTAGGGGACTGGTGGGTGGTGGTTAAGGCGTTGGACTCCCACATGGCTAACCGTGTGGTTCGAGCCCCAGACCTGGCAGCTTGCTTTCTCACTTTCCGTTTCTCTCTCTCTCTCTCTTTGCCTCTCTTTGGTCAGATTTAAAAAGAATAATAAAGTGGAACAGCAGGTGGCGTGGTGGCTAAGGCACTGAATATTCCACATGGCCGACCACAGTTCGAGTCTCAGACCTGGTGGCTTGCTTTCTCACTTTCTCTCTGTGTGTCTGTTGTTCTCTGGTCGAATGAAAATAAAGGACAGAATGAATAAACAACAAAAAAAAATTTTTTTTGGAGAGGTTTTTGCTATAGGGCGTATGCACTCACCAGACAGAGAGAGACAGAGAGACAGAAAGCGAGAAATCACCCCCCAGGGAGGATGGCCACGCCACAATCCCTTCTCCTCCGTTCTCCTCTTGGGATTTTGGGCACGCACGCACACGCGCCCGGTGTGAGTTTAAGCCACCGGGTCTGGGACTCGAACCGCGGTCGACTACATGGGAGTCTAGCGACATAGCCATTACACTAACTGCCGGTCCCATGAATAAACAAAATTTAATAATAATAAAGTTAAATAATTTTTTTCAGAGGTTTTTACTATAGGGTGTGTGCGCTCGCCAGACAGAGAGAGACAGAGAGACAGAAAGTGAGAAATCACTCCCCAGGGGGGATGGCCACGCCGCAATCCCTTATCCTCCGTTCTCCTCTGGGGATCTTGGGCATGCACACATTACCACACCCGGCATGAGTTTAAGCCACCGGATCTGGGACTCGAACCGCGGTCAAGTACATGGAAGTCCAGCAACACAGACATTATGCTAACTGCAGGTACCAAAAGTTAAATAATACTTAAAAAACAAAAAAAAGAAAAGATCAAAATCTGCTTAGGACTGCAGATGCCACGGCACAGGGAGGCCACCATTCTGCGGTGCTGAGTCTACATGGAGGACCAGGGCCCGAGTCCCCAGGTCAATGCTAGCAGGCATGTGCCTGTGACCCCGGAGGTCTGGAGAGACTGGTGGGAGGATGGTGGCGTGAGACCCTGTTGTGGATGCTTCTTTCTCTCTCATGAAAGAAACTTTTTGTTTTATTTTATTTAGTCCTTCATTCATTTTAATTTGACCGGAGAGAGAGAAAAGGAAAGTGAGAAAGCAAGCCACCAGGTCCGGACTCAAACCCCGGTCAGCCATGTGGGAGTATCCAGCATCTTAACCACCACGCCACCTGCTGGTTCCCATCTCATGAAAGAAACTTTAGGACCAGCAGATGGCATAATGGCTACATCACTGGACTCCCATGTAGTTGACCATAGTTCGAGTCTCGGACCCGGTGGCTTAAACTCACGCTGGGCGCGTGTGCGTGCGTGCCCAAGATCCTGAGAGGAGACCGGAGGAGAAGGGATTGCGGCGTGACTGCCCCTCCGGGGGGTAATTTTTTGCTTTCTGTCTGTCTCTGTCTGTCTTTCTGGCTAGTGCACATGCCCTATAGCAAAAACCTCTCAAAAAAAACATACATAATAATAATAATAAAAAAGATTTATTTATTTTGAATTATAGAAGTCACACACTCTCCTCAAAGAGACAGAAAAGTGCAGAGAAGGAGAAAGCATTCCCCAATGGGGGAGGGGGTCCTACCGCAATCCCTTCTCCTCCCTCTCTCCGTGCTGTTGGGATTTGGGGCTCACGTGCACATGTGTCCAGTGCATTTTTCAAGCTGTTGGGGCCAGGATTCAAACCATGGTTGGCCATGTGGGATCTAGGACCCTTAACCATTAGGCTATAGAGCTGGCAGCCCCTTGGGACCAGCAGTTAGCGTAATGGCTATGTCGCTGGACTCCCATGTAGTTGATCGCAGTTCGAGTCCCGGACCTGGTGGCTTAAACTCACGCAGGGTGCGTGTGCGTGCGTGCCCAAGGTCCCGAGAGGAGAATGGAGGAGAAGGGATTACAGTGTGGCCATCCCCTCTAGGGGGTGACTTCTCGCGTTCTGTCTCTCTATCTCTCTCTGTCTGTCTGGTGAGTGCATGCACCCTGGAGCAAAAACCTTTCCAAAAAAAAAAATTCTGGGTCTGAAGTGACACATCCTGGAGCCTGGGACTGGCCAGTCAAGTCCTAGGGGACAAAGGCCGTGACCAGATGCCATGGCCTCCAGGATAACCTGCCATAACTGGGTGGAGAGTTTCCCCACGACCCCCGACCTGGGCGCCCTACCTGCGTTCGCGATTCCACTTCATCATGCCCCAGTACCCGAAGAGTAGGGTCCCGATGCCCACGGCGAACAGGCTGTAACCTGCGGAGAAAGGAGGTGCCTCTCAGCCCTGAGGACAGGCTGCCCCTTGTCGTCTCTTACATAAGGCGGAAGGTGGAAGCCTCCCGCTTGCTCCCATAAACCCCTGCCCAGAAATGGTAACTGTATGGTATGTCTTTTTTTTTTTTAAGAATTATTTATTTGTTTGTTGTTATTATTTATTTAACTTGATGAGAGAGAGAGAGAGAAAGTGAAGGTAAGAAAGCAAGGTGCCAGGTCTCGGACTCGAACCACACTCAGCTATGTGGGAGTCCAGTGCCTTAACCATCATGCCACCTGCGCCCCACCATTTGTTTTTTAGTGGAGAGGATTTTTTTTTTTTCTTTTTTGCGATAGGGCACGTGTGCAAGCCAGACAGACAGAGACAGAGAGACAGAAAGTGAGAAATCACCCCCCAGGGGGGATGGCCACACCGCAATCCCTTCTCCTCCATTCTCCTCTCAGGATCTTGGGCACGCACGCACATGCGCCCAGCGTGAGTTTTAAGCCACCGGGTCCGGGACACGAACCGTGGTCGACTACGTGGGAGTCCAGCGACATAGCCATTACGCTAACTCTTGGACCCCCTCCTTTTTTTTTTTTTGGAGAGATTTTCACTGTAGGGCACGTGCGTTCGCCAGACAGACAGAGAGAGACATAGAGACAGAAAGCGAGAAATCACCCCCCAGGGGGGATGGTCACACCGCAATCCCTTCTCCTCCATTCTCCTCTCGGGATCTTGGGCACGCACGCACATGCGCCCAGCGTGAGTTTTAAGCCACCGGGTCCGGGACACGAACCGTGGTCGACTACGTGGGAGTCCAGCGACATAGCCATTACGTTAACTGCTGGTTCCCGACCCCCTCCTTTTTTAAAGGGAGATTTTTACCAGGGGCTGGCAGGTGGTGTAGTGGTTAAAAGCGCACATGGCCAACTGTAGTATGAGTCCCAGACCTAGTGGCTTGCTTTCTCACTTTCCCTCTCTCTTTGTCATTCTTTGGTCAAATTAAAAAGTAATAATAATAACTGAAGTTAAATACAATAATCCTAAAAAAGATATTTTTTGACCAGCAGTTGGCGTAACGGCTATGTCACTGAGCTCCCATGTAGTCAACCATGGTTCGAGTCCTGGACCTGGTGGCTTAAACTCACGCCGGGCACGTGTGTGTGAGTACCCAAGATCCTGAGAGGAGAACGGAGGAGAAGGGATTGCGGCATGGCCATCCCCGCTGGTGGGTGATTTCTCGCTTTCTGTCTCTCTGTCTCTGTCTCTCTGGCCTCTCCAAAATAAATAAATAAAAATAAAGATATTTCTGCTGTTGGTTGCATGTGCTTGCCAAAGACACAGAGACAAAGAGAAATCAGCTTTGGGGGGCAGGGGGGATGGCCACGATGCAACCCCTTCTCCATTCTCGTCTTAGGATTTGGGGCACGCACGCACAGATGCCTGGTGTGAGTTTCAAGCTCCCAGGTCCAGGACTCAAACCATGGTCGGCCGTGTGGTAGCCCAGCGCCTTAACCACTACCCCACCTGCCAGCCCCCACCCGCATCTCTTTAGACCGTTTCTCTTTATCTGTTGATGCCCACTGGCTCTGCCCTGGACCCGTGCACGCTGCAGCCAGACACAGCTGCAAGGTGCATCCCTCTGCTCTGGGCTGGAGTTTCCGGAAAGCACACACCAGGCAGCAATTGGGTGAGGACCAAGGGTCTGGGTGAGTGTGGTTGGGTGGCCCAGGCTCCACAAACTTCTGGAATGTTCTGTCCCTGCTCAGCAGGACTGCTCCCTATCAGGAAGAACGGCTCTGGGAGTCCGCGGCTGTGCTCCAACTCCACGGTGGCTCCCCGCCCACAGGGAATCGTATGAGGCTGCCAGGGGCAGGCGGTGCCCTGTGGGGGCCACCCGGCTACCTCCTGGGCTCCAGGGGTGGTGTTACTATCCCTAGGCCCTGCAGGGTCCACACCCCTGCCCTGAGCCCTGCAAGACCAGAGGACGCCATGAATATTTTACTGAGCCTCAGTGGAACCCTATGCTGTAATCCTGACTGACAGCTGTGGCCAGTTGTGGCCTTCACGGGGGCCCTGGGCTGCCTGGGGTCCGGCTGGTCTACAACTCCGATCTTTTTTCTTTATCTATTTCTTTTGTGAGAAAGAACGTGTTTATTTCCAATAGAGACTCTCTTTTTTTTTCTCCAAAAGGTTTTTGCTATAAGGTATGCATCCTCACCAGAGACAGAGACAGAGAGGCAAAGTGAGAAATCACTCCCCAGGGGGATGGCTGTGTTGTAATCCCTTTTTATAGGGATTTTGGACATGCGTGTACACGAGCTCTGTGTGGTTTTTCTTTTCCTTGTAAGGAATTATTTTATGTAAGGTAATTCATTTATTTATTTTAATTGGACCAGAGAGGGACAGGGTGAGAAAGAGAAAGGAGGAGAAAGCGAGAAAGTAAGAAAGCAAGCTGCCAGGTACAGGACTCAAATCGCGGTCGGCCATGTGGGAGTCCAGCGCCCTTAACCACCTGCCAGCCCTGTGAACCCAAGATCTTCCGCATGTGGATCCAGTTGTGTTACTGCTGAGCATTCACCTGGCCCTTAAGGGAGCCAGGCGCTAGACTCCCATGTGGTCGACCATGGTTCAAGTCCTGGATCTGGTGGCTTAAAACTGATACCAGGCATGTATGTATTTGTGGCCAAAATCCTGAGAGGAGAATGGAGAAGGGAGGTAGAAACACAACCTGTGTGGGGCCGGCAGTGGCATGGTGGTTAAAGGCGCTGGACTCCCACATGGCCAACCACGGTTCAAGTCTCAGGCCTGGTGGCTTGCTTTCTCACTTCCTCTCTCTCTCTGATCAAACTGGAAAATAATAATGATCAGAATAATAAAGTTAAATAAAAAATAATTCTTGGGACCAGCAGATAGCATAATGGCTATGTCGCTGGACTCCCATGTAGTCAACCATAGTTCGAGTCCTGGACCCGGCAGCTTAAACTCACGCCGGGCGCGTGTGCGTGCGTGCCCAGGATCCCGAGAGGAGAATGGAGGAGAAGGGATTGCGGCATGGCCATCCCCCCTGGGGGTGATTTCTCGCTTTCTGTCTCAGTCTTTCTGGCGAGCGCATGCACCCTATAGCAAAAACCTCTCCAAAAAATAATAATAAATCTTTAAAATAAAAAAAACACGACCTGTGTTCACTGATCAAAGCACTTACAACTTGGGAACCAGCAGTTGGCATGATGACTATGTCGCTGGACTCCCACGTAGTCGACCGCGGTTTGCATCCCGGATCCGGTGGCTTAAAACTCACGCCGGGCACGTGTGCGTGCGTGCCCAAGATCCTGAGAGGAGAATGGAGGAGAAGGGATTGCGGCGCGGCCATCCCCCCTGGGGGATGATTTCTCGCTTTCTGTCTCTATGTCTCTCTCTGTCTGTCTGGCGAGCGCACGCGCCCTATAGCGAAAACCTCTAAAAAAAAAAAAAAGGCGTTTACAACTATGCAGAGGGCAAAGCCCCCCCAAATGTATGTAGAGAGACTTAATATCAGTAGACAGAATCTGCACCGTTTTTCTCCTCGCAGAGGTTGACAAGGAGGTCATAAAATGCATACAGCAAAGCAAGGGACCAGAACAGCCCAAACAATTTTGAAAACGAAGGACAAAGTTGGAGGACTCACACTCCCCCACTTCGAATCTTAGTACCCAGCTGTGTGTACAGACAGTGGGGCCCTGGCAAAGGGGACAGACATGTACGTCGCCGGCCTAGAACTGGGAGTCCAGAAATAAACGTCACATGGATGGGCAATTGATTCCGGACAAGGCGCTGCCAAGACCATTCAATGGGAAAGAACAAGTCTTTTCAACAAATGGGACAACCGGACAGCCACGTGCGGAATGAATGAAGCTATGGGGGCCAGCAGGTGGTATGGTGGTTGGGTTGCTGGACTCCCACATGGCCGATCACAATTCGAGTCCCGGACCTGGCGGCTTGCTTACCCTCTCTTTCTCTCATTCTGTCCCTCTCTGGTCAAATTAAAACAAATAAATAAATAGGCACCAGCAGTTAGCGTAATGGCTATGTCGCTGGACTCCCATGTAGTCGACCGCGGTTCACGTCCCAGACCCAGTGGCTTAAAACTCACGCCGGACGCGTGTGCGTGCGTGCCCAAGATCCCGAGAGGAGAACGGAGGAGAAGGGATTGTGGTGTGACCATCCCCCCTGGGGGGTGATTTCTCTCTTTCTGTCTCTCTGTCTCTCTCTGTCTGTCTGGCGAGTGCACGTGCCCTATAGCAAAAACCTCTCCAAATAAATAAATAAATAAATAAATGGATAAATTAAAAAGTTAAATAATTTTTTTTTTAAAGAAAAGAATGAAGCTGTGTTTCATCCTTATCCCATACGCAAAAATCAACCTGGGGGGTTGGCAGGTGGCATGGTGGTTAAGGGCGCTGGACTGCCACATGGACGACCACAGTTCGAGTCCCGGACCTGGTGGCTTGCTTGCTCACTCTCTTTCTCTCTGTTGCCCAATTAAAATAAATAAGCAAATAAAATAAATAAAGTTAAATAAAATAATTCTTTAAAAAAAAATCAACTTGGAAAAGGGCCATCGTCACGGTACAGTGGTTAAAGCGCTGTGCAGAGGAAGGTGGATCCTACCACACAAGGAACTGAGGTTCAAGTCCTGGCTCTGATGGCTTTCTATCAAGTGTGGGCCCAAGATCCTGAAGCATAGAGAATTGGAGGGAAAAGGATCGCAAGCTCTATTGGGTTCTCTTTCTCTCAAGTGTGCACACATGCTATCATGAATTAAAAATAAACTTAAAAAAAAAGAAAAGTAAAATAAATAAAAATAAACGACCTCAATGTAAGAGCTGAAACTTTTAGAAGAAAACATAGGAATTGGGGACCAGCAGGTGGCGTGGTGGTTGAGGCGTTGGGCACTCCCACATGGCCGACCAAGGTTCAAGCCCCGGACCTGGCAGCTTGCTTTCTCACTTCCCCTCAA